CACACACACACACACACACACACACACACACACAAGTTAGAGTTATCTTAGAGAAGTGGATTGGGAAATGTTTACTCAACTATTGGGTGTTTTTAGCCTGTCATTCAAATGGGGACCCTACAGCGTAGAAGAAAAAGAGCAGACTCATGACAGGGAACAGTCTCAGAATCCTGTGTTGTTAGGCCGCAGATGAATGGAGATGAGGGTCAGGAAAGCAAACTAGACTAGACTAAAACATCATGAAACTACATTATGAAAAGGCTCCTCCTTGTCATGACATTTCCTGCCTGCTCCAGGTTTCAGACCATACGGCAACCAGCCCAGGGCTGCCATATACAAGGAGGTGTTAGTATAAATGCTGCCCAAGGAACCCCTCACTGTCCTAGAGATGCACAAAGTCCTTCACCTGCCTTCTGGATGAGTAGGCCCGTCATGGGCATTGGTGGGACTCGATTCAGCTTGTCTTTCATGATGGATGTCTCGGGCTCTGTCCCCTGACAGATCACACACTTGGGTCATCTGCTCGGCCAGAGTTGTGAACAAACAGTCTGAGAAGGCTTGAGATGCTGATGACAGGGGTCAGAGGTCTTGGTTCTGTTCCAGGCTGTCAACTAAGAAAGATGAGCTGCTGAAGAACAGGAGCCCAGGCACAAGCCCTTGTCACAGGCCTAGGTTTTTGTTTTTGTTTTTTTACGTCTGGGGTTTACTAGTTGAATCCTAGAATGTTTGAGTCAGAAGAGAGGGCCTTCTAAAGCGTATAGCTGTAAACCAAACATTCTTAGTCTTCTCAGTTCAAGCTCACATGGCAACTGGCAGTGGAACCAGGCCTGGAACTCCTGTTTCTTCTTGGTTCCTGCTGCATTCCTGATACAGATGAACAGCTTTCATGGTAAGCAAACAGCAGGTGGGCGGATGTGGTCACTAACCAGTGCGCTGGACTGTAGGTCAGCAGGCTTTACCCCTGGCACACTATTAACAGCTTAATCTGGTCTGTCACCCTCTCCTCCCTGGACATCCTGTAGTCCACAGAATGTGGATTAGAAATGAACTGTTCTCAGCCAAGACCCTGAAATAGGAGATGAAATGGCCCACAGAGACCATCTGGTTTAGTTCCCTCAGTGATGCAGAATTGCCAGCTTCCGTGCTGGGGAATCATTCCAGAGACCACACAGAGGCAGAAGGTGGTAAGTGGGCCATGGAGAGATAGACATGATGTGGGGGTAGCCCAGGTAGGCAGAAGTCTGACCATTCTGCCTCCTGTCAACTCCATTTGAAAGTTCCTTTTATATTGAATTAAGCTCTGTATCCATGAACTTCTGTCCACTGGAACTGACTCAACCCCCTGGAAACCAACAGACCAGGTCTGCTACTTCTGCAGATTCGGATAGAAGGCACCCACGTGACACAACAAGTGAAAGCCGCTAAATTGGGCAAGAACTCCAATCTGCATGCAGCCCAGTCTTTCCCCACCTGGCTCTCACCCCTGCCAAGCTGATTATAGATAGATAGATAGATAGATAGATAGATAGATAGATAGATAGATAGATGATAGATAGATAGGGATATATCTCTATCTCTATCTCTATTTCTATCTATATCTATATAT